ATATAAAAGATAATTTTATATATAAAATTTTAAGTTATTATTATTTTTTAAAAAATTATTTATTTTTTAAATTTTTTAATCTTATAATTTAATTTATTATTATTTATTATTATATATATATTTTATAATTTTAGTAATTAATTAAATAATTTAATATTATTATTGATAATAACAAATAGATTTACTTATATAATAATATTATTATTAATAAATATTATATAAAAAAATTTAAATATTAAAATCAATAAAATTTTTTTATTTAATTTTTGTAAATAAAGTTTATATATTTATATAAATATTTAATATTTTAATATTTTTAATATATAAACTTTAAATTTATTATAATATTATTAATATATTTTTTAATTATTAAATAAAAAATATATATATAAATAAAAAAGAATTTATTAAAAAAAATTATTAAAATACTAAATTATAAAAGAAATAAGTATTTGATATCTTATATTTATATTTATTAATATAATAAAAATATTAAAAAAAAGAATAAATAAAAAATAAAAAATAATAATATAATATATAAAAAAATAAAAAATAAAAGATTAAATTAGATAAATATATATTTAATAAAAAAATAAAATAATATATAATATAAAAGTTTTAATATTTATAAAATTATATTTTAATATTTTTGATATTATTATTATAAATAAAAAGTATAAAAAATTATTAAAATTATTAAAATTTAATTAAAAATCAAAAATATTAAAATAATAAATTAAATTAAATTAAAAATATAATTTAAAATAATCAAGTATTCAGATATAATTTTTAAAATTAAAAGTATATTTTATTTTTAAATTTATTTTATATAATAAAAAATTATTTTTATAATTTTAAATAATAATAAAATATAATAAAATTAATTTTTTTTATTAAAAAAAATAAAAAATAAAAAAATTATTTTATATAAAAAAATTAAATACAATTTAAAATTAAGAAAATAATTTGTAAAATTAATATAATTAAAAAATAAAAAATTAAAATTATTTTATAATAATAATATTTTAAATTATATTTAATTAATTATAATTAAATCTTTAACATTTATAATATTTATAATAAATTAGTTAAGTTTTTGTAATATAATAATAAAATATTTTGTTATATAATAATTTAAAATAAAAATAAATCAATTTATATTAATATTAAATATAATTAATAATAATTTATTAATTATTCTTTTTAAAAATATATAATAAAAATATTAAGATTTCTTTTTTTTATTTATATAGTAATAATTAAAAGTAATATATTAGAAACTAAATTTATTAATAAAATATAATAAAAATCAAAATTTTTTCTTTAAATTAATTTAATATATAATTTTTTAAAATTTTTTAGATTTTTCTCTAAAAGAATTATCTAATTATAAAATTGATATAAAAAATTTTATTAATTAATAATAAAATTTAATTAATAAAAATTTTTATATTAACTTTATAATTAAAATAATTCTTTTAAAAAAAATCTAAAAAAAATATATATTAAATTATAATTAATAAACTTTATTTTGATATAAAAATAAAAATAAAAATTATTTTTTAATAAAATTATAAATTTTAATATAGAGAAAAAAATTTTATCTTTATTATATTTTATTAATAAATTTAGTTTCTGATATATTATTTTTGATTATTCTGTATAATATTTAAGATAATATATTATATAATATTTTATTTATAAAATTTTTTTTTATATTATAAATTTTAATTGAAGAAGTATTTTAAAAAATTATTTTATAATTTATAATTTTAATAATAATTAAGAGAATAAACACTTATCATATAATAATTTATTATTATAGAACTGATTCTCTTTTTCCAGGTAAGATTTTTATTATATTTATTTAACTAATTATTTTGATTATATGAAAGATGAAATTTTTGAGATTTCTTCCTCTTCAATAATTATGTGATATATATTTATCCTCTAATTAAACAAATCTAATATATCTATTTACTATTAAACTAAGATTTTTTAAGAGAAATTTAAATATATTTATATTTTTAACAATTATATTAAATTTATCTTTTTCATTTCTTGACTTATTATATTAATTTGCACTTATTTTTACATGTTTTACTTATAATAAATATTTTAAGAAATAAATGATTAACTTGATTAAAATAATATTTATCAGATACTTTTCTTGCAATTATCAGATATAAATGATGAAAATAATTTTTTATTTATTTATTAAATTATTATCTGTAAGAATTATAAGTTTTGACACTATTAATATAAAAGTTAAATTTGATAAAGACAAATCTACAAAACTTATCTCTATAGGCAATTACAATTTTCTTAACCAGCTCATAACTTGATTATTTCAATAGAAAACACAAATCTCTTGAAGCTGACATCAGAGCTGAAATGATGATCTGAAAATTATATCCAAATTGTCCAAGGACCAACCTTGATAATCAAACATTTATTTTTCTTCTAGATAAATTTTTATCAAACGAAATTATGCATGATAAATTCGTAAGTATTGGCTCGAACTTAGAATTTTGAAATTTTAGACATATTTTAGGTACAAGTAGATTTTGACAAGTGGATTTTTGACCAAGTGGATTTTCGACAAGTGGGTTTTTAACAACTCAAACTGTATGTTTACTGCTTTTCAGTCTTTTTATAGAAAAATAGATTATACATAAAACACAGCATATATCATATTTTAGCAATCATTCGAGTTAAATATTTTGTCTGATATGACAATGATCCAACACAAATAATTTTCTATACAAATCATGCGCCCATCTCATAAATAATATGCTTTTGTTCTTTTGTTTTATGCAAACAACGCAAACAACTTCATTGGCTAAATATAAATGAATTATCCTTAAATATACATGTAATTTAGTTATTATTGAATTTATCTGATGTTAATATGTTATAATATTATTAATGAGACTTTAGCTGAATTTTTTACTTGTGAAAAATTATCCGAAGAAATACACACCCCCACAATATATTACCGGAAATTTCAAAAATGAAACTATCATTTTGGAACCCAATTTCTTGTAATCTAGTGATCTCATTTAAATAAAGATATTATCATAAGATTCGTGGAGTCGCGACAAATTTAATGGAGTATTTTCATTTAAATTGGATCATTGAATTTTGAGATATTGGATTTCAAAGTGGCAGATTCGTTTTTAGGATTTCCGGTAATATATTGTAGGGGTGTGTAATATCGATATGTTTTACCTTTTCTCTGATATATCCAGTGCTCACGTGCATACTTAACTGATAAGAAATAAATAATTCATATCTAGATGTTGCATTTAGAGATTCATTAGTTCGATACAAGCTAACGTACGAAGAGTAACAGAAATATCAAAATGAAAATAGCTTGAATTGGAATCCATAATCGATTTTTATTATTTATTTCGGGAAATTTGCAGCCAAATCCCAAGCTCTAGAGTACACATCGCTTATCTTTTTTGCTTTCCTTTTTCAACGGTTAAACCAAATGTCCTATATCTCCTACTAATGTATTTTGCTCCTTTTCATCGAAACACCTGACAAACGAAGGGTTACGATTATTCGTTGCAAAGCTTTGTCGAGAATAAATAATAAGGAAGCACATCATGTTAATGATTAATTTAATTTTGTTCACGAGTTTGTGAACATTGCACCGAGCTGCATAATGGAGAATCTAAAACTCGTCTGCCCTAACCTGATTATCCGATGAAGTTACAATGATACGTGCAACGTTTCCAAAAAATTATTTCATTTATTATAGCAATCACTGTTTTAATTGTTGATAAAAGCATGTCTCATGTTTTTTAAATTCTCAATTCTGATAAAATCAAATTTTCATTATGTTATTGAGCGGAAGCAACATTCCTCCCATAAACCACAATTTCATCAAAAATATCTTTACATCTAATCTTGGCACCCATCTTTGCGCATAACAAAAACGCGCCCGACAATTTTCTATGCAGGCTATAAGTCTCATCAGGGGGAGGGGTCAAACGGTGCTTCAACATGGTTGGAATCAAATTACGAACGCGATCTGTGACTGTTTGTGTTGAGAAATCGTACAATGGACGAGCGAAAGGTTCACCGATTGTCATCATTGATTCAGCATGTGCTCGTTTCATAACCTTCATAATTAGATAAAATTTGAGATTAATTTAGATCTATACAATTTAAAATGATAATGTGTTACCTCGGTTTCCAATCCAGTCAAAAATCCTAATTGTTCGGAATAATAAATGCATCCTTCATAGTCTTGTTTTACCGCGGCTTTTAGCGCTTCCCGGTACAAATTTATGAATTGTTCACCGAAATCCCGACTTGCGCCAAAATCAAGTAATTCGATCTAATCATAATGTAGCAAACGCTTGATAAACAATTGACTCTCCAAATGTAGAGAAAAACGTATAATATCATTTGTCACCTTTCTCGTTCGTTGATTATATAAAAAATTCGTCCAGTTTGGGTCGGTTTGCATGAATCGTAACTCGAAAAGTTCACGAA